TCAATTCCAATCTCCAATGCAGATTTATATACCCAATTCCCAATGAATTCTTATCCATCTTCAATAGTGAAGCTCTCAAAAATCCCTCTTTTTCTATATATCTTTAGGCAGTGCTGATCACCCAATTCTGGGTGTGTCTCAATCAACTTGTACATATTGCTTATTCTTCTTAAAAAAAAACTTAGTTGGCTTATAATTTACATACAAGAAAATGTATCCATTTTAAGTATAAATTAACAACTTTATATATCGATGTAACAACCACTATAATTAAAGTTGAGAGCTTATCAATGACCACAAAAAAGGATTCTCTTATACCTGTTCCATCCTCTCAATCTCCCCAGACCCATCGCAAGTAAAACTATTTAGCTTTCTGCCAGTAAATATCAGAACGATCATTTCTAGAATTTCATGTAAATGGAATCATACACTTTATACTGTGTCTGGCATTTTTTGCCATGTACAACTTTTGTAAGCTATTTTGTTAAGGTTTAATTTATATACAATCAAGTGAATCCATTTGAAGTGCTCAAATTGATGAGCTTTGGTAGCTGTATACACACTTAAGAAACAACCACTACAATCAGGATGCAGAACATTTCTATCGCCTCCAAAAGATTTCTCATGCCCCTCTGCCATCCATCCCTTCAGACAGTACATACTCTCTTGTATCTGGCTTCTTTGAGTTAGCATGGCTTTGAGATTTACCCATGTTGTTGTGCCTATTAATAGTTTATTTCTTTTATATTGCCAACCATTATTCTATGATATGGAAATGCCACATTTTACTTATCCATTTACCTACTGATCGTTATTTCAGTTCCAGTTTGGAGCTACTGTGAATAAAGATGGCATGAGCATTAGTATATGTCTTTTTTATGAACAGATGTTTTTGTTTCTTTTGTATAGTAACTAGGAATCAAACAGCTGAGTCATAAGGTATACATATGTTTAACTTTTGAAAAAACAGTCAAACTATTTCCCAGTGTGATTCTACCACTATTAAATGCTGCTATCAATGTAAGAGAATTCCAGTTACTCTACATCCTCACCAGCCCTTGGGAGTGCCAAAATTTGTAATTATATTCACCCTGATGGGTGTAGTAGTATCTCATTGTAGTTTTAATTTGAATTTCCCTATGATGATGCTGAGCATCTTGGCAAGTGTCATTTTAAATATTTAGTCACCCAATATTTTATATATTTGTAATTAAATATTTAACCCCCACAATACATTAATCATTTTTTATTTTTAATAATTTATCTTATTATCTATACAGTCCCTTTTTTGGGTATATCGCAAGAATATTTTCTCAGTCTGTGGCTTGTCTCCTGGTTTTCTTAATCTTTCAAAGAACAAAGAGTGTTTGATTTTGGTGAAATCCAATTTATAAATTTTTTTAGGTTATGACTCCAGTTTTCTGCATTTTGGGGAGAAAATGCAATTTTTAATACTGACCTTTTAGTTGAAGTTACACATTATTTCCAATAGCTTTTCTAAGATTCCTTAGGATTTTTATATACATGATTATGTGACCATAAAATAAGGAGAGGTTTATTTTGTCTTTTATAATTTGTGTCTTTTAACTTTTTCTCTCCTTACTAAAATGGCTACAAAGTCCAGCAAAATGCATGGTAAAAGTAGATAATCTTGCCCTGCTTCCAATCTTAGGGGGAAAGAATTCAGTCCATATGTCATCATGTATGATGTTAAGTAGGTTTTTCATACATGCCCTTTATCAGATTGAGGAAGTTCCCTCTCTTGCTCCTTTTTTTTTTCATCAATGAATATTGATATTTGATAAATGCTTTTCTGCATCCATAGGAATAATAGATTGGATTTTTTTTACTTTATTCTAATATGGTAGGATACATTGATTTATTTTTGAATATTAAATCACCTTTGTATTTCTGAGATAAACACTAATCACAATAGGATTACTATATCTATATTCATGAGGGATACTTATCCATAGTTCTCTTTTTCCTGTAATGTCATATGATTTTGATATTAAGATAATGCTGGCATCAAAAATGAGTTGGGAAGTGGTCCCTCCTTTGTTTTCTAACTTTATGTAGGATTGGTCTTGTTTCTTCCTTATATGTTTAATAAATCCTCCAATGATATCATCTTGGTCTGGAGTTTTCCTTAAGGGAACATTTTAAATCATGAATTCAATTTGTTAATATAGGGCTACTAAAAGTTTTCTATTTTGACAATTTGTATTTTTCTAAGAAATGTGTTCATTTCACCTATACTGTAGAATTAACTGGGACAAACCAGTTCATATTCCCTTACTAACCTTTACTATCTGTAGAATCTGTGGTGGTATCTGCACTTTCAGTCCTATATTGATGTGTAGTTCCCTCTTTAAAAGATCTATTTAGCTAGGTTTATAAAACATATTGCTAGTATTTTTCAAATAACCAGGTTTTGTGTTCTTTGATTTTTATCTACCATTTGCTTTTCCATTAATTCCCACTCTTAATTTTACTTTTATGTAACTAACTTGATCTCTGTCTTTCTAGCCTCTTAAAGTGAAAGCCTGGATAACTTATTTTAGACTTCTTTTCTCTAATTAGCATTTAAATCTATAAATTTCTCCAGAAGCACAGCTTTAGCTTCATCTCCTTATAATTTTTCAAGGGTTCAATTTGAATTTTTTAGGCCTAAGGTGTTCATTTCCCAGAAAGACACAGATAGGAAATGAGTAGCAAAAAGAACATCATGAAAAGAACGACTTCAGAATAAAAGTCCTCCCAGAAATGTTATTGAGTCCTGCCAGATCCATATAGAGCAATCACTTCTGGGACACAGGAGCACTGACAATTGGACACTGCACTAAAAATCACTGTAGGCTAATACTTAGAAAAGCATTTATGATGACATCAACCCAATGTACATCCTTCTTATTGGCACTTAATGATATTACACTAGTGTAAGTCTAATATTATTGATACTACAGTTGATATAAATATACATTCAACTGCTTTCCCTATTTTACCTCATGATTTTGGTTTTTTTTAATTGGTGACTGATTAGCTCAGGGCACACAGTACACATTGCACCAATGGCACTACTGTTATGGCAAAATCTTACTCTATGTTTGGCACCAATTCTGTATCTTGATACAAAAGTTACTCAACATATCTTATTAATTTGAGAATTTGTGCCAGATAGTTTTACTAATACAGCTAGCCTGACTTAGTAATACAACTACATTTCAAAATGCAGAAACAAATGTTCCAACTATAAGTTATTTGGCTGTTATCTTCATAAGAACTAGAATATTTCTATGTCAAAAATCCACAGAGAAATACTACACAAAATAAGTAACAGTTATTAGTACTACTTAAAATAAATACCTTATATCAAACCAATTATAATTGCTAGGTATGAATTTTCTAACTTAAAAAAGTAACCAGTAATGAATAATCCAGTAAAATAAAATGAAATAAAATTATTCTTTGGGATCAGAGAGACACTTAAGTTGAGTACTGAACCAACTCCGCACTTACAAGCTATAAACAAGTTATATACATCATCTAATCTATTAGCTTTTGTATCTACCAACTAGGGATAATGATAGCACCTGACAGGGTTGTTTCAAGAATTAAATGAGCTTTTTTATATAAAAGCATTATTTAACATACTTGTCTGACATGTTGTATGAGCTCACAGACTAAATCTAGTTGTTTGCTAACAAATATTTAAAAGCTCACAAAAAGGATAAAGAAAAAAATAGCAGTCATAATTGATTAGGGACAAACAGAAAAATACCATTTTACCTTTACAAGAGTTAAATTTAAAAATACGTTGTCTGTTCCTCTCCTACACTATGCTTTCCAGGCAAATTGGAGCAGTAAGTGATGCTAGTGGTTAATATATTCTAGCAAGTAGGTTCAACCAATATACTAATGTGAATACTCAATACAAATCGTGATGTAATCAGTATAAAAGTAAAAATGTATACAGACTTGAACAGTCAGTGCTAACTATATAGACTGTGCCTGCTAAACACTGCAGCATAGTCTAGAAGTAGGTGGGTCTCCATGTTATCAGTTCATTCCTTGCCTTTCAATCAAGTTCTCAACAGACAAGTATCTATTTTAAAATACAGAGTTCTAGTGTCTAAAGTTTCTTAGTTACAAGTTACCATTTTAACCAGAATGGCAAGTTTATGATAAAACTGACAATCCAATATTTTTCAAAAGTATTAATAAAGGAGAATGTATAAATTGTGTGACTAAGTCTGTGCTGCCCTATATCCTCACTCATTAGTTAAGGGAAAAAAGACATACAAACTTGCTTTAACTTGTCATATTTTTTCAAACATACTACCTGTCGTTGTTTGCAAGCATAAAGTTCTCAGAATAATTGCTAATATTCTCAATAAATTTCTTATATAGTGTTGTTCCAACTTAATCCATTATGCAAAAACAATTCTAATGTCCTTGTTCAGCAACATTTCCATGTGAATTAAGCATGGTAACATTGATTTCAGGTCAGCTTTAGAAATACACCCTTCAACGTTTGCCTCAAAAAATGTAATACATATTTTACACATGATAAATGTCAAAAATCTTAAAGCTCTACAATTAAATACTTACAACTTTCAAAACAAGGGCTTCCAAAACTGCTGGTAAAGCTATCTAGGACTACACAGTATCCAAAACATTAAAAGGGAGGCAGGAATAGAGGGAGAGAAGTACAGGAAAGGGGGGAAGATGGGAATCTCTGGATGTATTTACAACTTTATTTCCTAGGCTTTTCTAACTAGCTACTCAGTAGAATTGCCTTTTAATAATGTTTTAAAATGAGGTGCTCAGGCTCTATGTAACCCAAACCTACCAAACCAGAATCTGGCTGGGCGGAGGGTGTGGGGGAAAGGACCAACCTACATTTTTAAAGAGTTCCTCTAGTAATTAAGATGCATGGCCAGCCAGGCTGACCTGAACTATGAAACAGACAGGCTACTGTTTAGTTTTTCAAAAAGTACCTTGATCTGCTGTCTTCGTAGCATGGCAAGTTCTCTCATGTCTCTGAATGGCTGCAGTAAATACTGATAGAGTTCAGTTGTGGCTTCTGCAAGGCTGCTATAGGCTTCATCCTCCATCTGATACAAGTCCAGAAGCTCCACCATGCTCTCTGTATTCTTGTGCTTATCCAAGAGCTGTGGAACAAGAAAAGTTTCACTATAAAGAGATCCAATCATAATGTTCTATAAATACTTGCTTTTTAACTCCCTATCTATCATCTCAGGACCTTGAAATCCTGAAACACAGAAGCAGGGGGGAATGAAAAGCATAGATTGCTTTACATCACTCATCTCCATGCCTCACATATTATGCTCCTTAAGACCAATGCCTGAATCAACCTTTTCAAACTGCTTTCACCATATTATTCCTGTTCTCTGTATTTTCTGGCACTTCATACTATCTGACTAGCCTTAATGCCTTAAAAAAAATTTTCCCATCATTTGATAGCCTTCTCCATATTTATACAAAAAAATTTTTTCATTGCTAATTTACAAAGTAGTTATCTGTCTTACCAATACTGATTTACTAATTCTTGCCCCAACTCTTGTTGCCACTCCTTTCTTTCTCCCAATGTGGAACATTGCCTAGACAACTTTCTTCAACTTAAGCCTATCGCTTCCTCCAAAATCCAGATGGGAAAAAAAAAAACCCTCTACTGAAAGTAGAGTTTAACACTGAGTATGATCAACATAGTTCTTTGTATTTCTTGATACTTATGTATGAATGTGTGTGAACGTGTATGTGTGTAGTCAGTAATTCATTCACTCCTCAGATATGAACCTGGCACCAAACATGTTGAGCATTGGGCTAGGGGCTGGGCATACAAAACCATGGTTCCTTTTCTCACAGAGCTTCCAATGTGGCAAATAATAAAGAACTAAATCAATTTTTAAAAATTACAAACTGTGAAAAATGTTAGATTTTTTATTCTTTTGCCAAAGCAAACTTGAGAAAGAACAAAGCTGGGGTATTATGCTCCCTGACCTCAAACTATACTACAAAGCTACAGTAATCAAAACAGTATGATACTGGCCTAAGAACAAAACCAAAGATCATTAGAACAGCATAGAGAGCACAGAAATTAACCCATGCATATACAGTCAAGTAATGTATGATAAAAGAGCCATGAATATACAATGGGGAAAAGACAGTCTCTTCAATAAATGGTGCTGGGGAAACTGGACAGCTACATGCAAGAGAATGAAACTGGACCACTGCCTTAAACAATACACAAAAATAAACTCAAAGTGGATTAAAGACCTAAATATAAGACCTGATACTATAAAACTCCTAAAAGAAAGCACAGGCAGCTGAGTCTTGAACATCAACATTAGAAACTTTTTTTTCTGGACCTGTCCTCAGGCAAGGGAAACAAAAATAAAAATAAAGTGAGACTACATCAAACCAAAAAGCTTCTGCACACCAAAGGACACCACCAACAAATCAAAAAGGCAACCTACCAAAAGGGAGAATATATTCATAAATAATTTATCCAATAAAGGGTTACATCCAAAATATATAAAGAACTCATATACCTCAACACCAAAAAAATAAATAACCCAATTAAAAAATAGGCTGAGCAAAAATGAACAAATGGGACATCAGACTAAAAAGCTTTGGTACAGCAAAGGACACCATCAACAGAACTAAAATGCATCCTACAGTAAAGGAGAATATAATCATAAATGACTTATCTAATAAGGAGTTAATATCCAAAATATATAAAGAATTCACATGCCTCAACACTCAAAAAAAACAAATAACCTGATTAAAAAATGGGTGGAGGATCTGAAAAGATACTTCTCCAAAGAAGAAATTCAGATGGCCAAGAGGCACATGAAAATATGCTCCACATTGTTAATCCCTAAGGAAATGCAAATTAAAACCACAATGAGATACCACCTCATACCAGTCAGGATGGCCAACATCCAAAAGACAAGGAATAACAAATGCTGGCAAGGATGCAGAGAAAGGGGAACCCTCCTACACTGCTGGCGTGAATGTAAATTAGTTCAACCACTGTGGAAAGCAGTATGGAGGTTCCTCAAAAAACTAAAAATAGAAATACCATTTGACCCAGGAATTCCACTTCTAGGAATTTACCCAAAGAAAACAAGATCCCAGATTGAAAAAGACATAGGCACCCCTATGTTTACCACAGCACTATTTACAATAGCCAAGATATGGAAGCAACCTAAGCATCCATCAGCAGATGAATGGATAAAGATGTGGTATATATACACAATGGAATATTATCCAGCCATAAAAAGAAAACAAATCCTACCATTTGCAACAACATGGATGGAGCTGGAAGGTAATATGCTCAGTGAAATGAGCCAGGCAGAAAAAGACAAGTACCAAATGATTTCCCTCATGGGGAAGGGATATAGCATGGATAAGACAAGTAATGACTCTGTAACATCTTACTACCCTGATGGACAGTGACTGCAATGGGGTGGGTGTTGAGGGGACTTGATAATATGGATGAACGTAGTAACCACAATGTTGCTCATGAGAAACCTTCATAAGATAGTATATCAACGATACCTTAATAAAAAAAACGTGAATTAAAGAAAAAATGGGCTGAGGACCTGAACAGGCATTTCTCCAAAGAAGAAATACAGATGCCCAACAGGCACATGAAAAGATGCTCCACATCATTAATCATCAGGGAAGTACAAATCAAAACCACAATGAGATAGCACCTCACACCAACCAGAATGGTTACTATCCAAAAGACAAGAAATAACAAGTGTTGGTGAGGATGTGGAGAAATGGGAACCCTCCTACACTGTTGGTGGGAATGTAAATTGGTGCAGCCACTGTGGAAAGCAGGATGGAGGTTCCTCATAAAACTAAAAATAGAAATACCACATGATCCAGTAATTCCACTTCTAGAAATTAACCTGAAGAAAACAAACCTCTGATTCAAAAAGATATATGCATCCCTGTGTTTATGGTCATATTCTTTACAGTAGCCAAGATATGGAAACAACCAAAGTGTCCATCAATAGATGACTAGATAAAGAAAATGTGGTACATCTGCACAATGGAATATTATTGAGCCATAAAAAAGAAAGAAATCCTGCCATTTGTGACAGCATGGATGGACAGAATTATATAAGTGAAATAAGCCAGGCAGAGAAAAACAAATACTGTACAATTTAATTTATGTGTGTAATTTAATACAAAACAAAACAAAATGAAAAAAATAGGAGTAAACTCATAGACAATGAGAAGTGACTGGTGGTTACCATGGGAAATGGCTGAGGTAGGTGAGGGGGAAAAGAAGGCATAAAATTCTCCATCATAATGTAAGTTGGTCATGGTGATGGAAGTACAGCATAGAGAATATAGTCAATGATTCTCTTACATCCTTTTATGTTGACAGATAGTAAAATGCACTAATTGGGATGAGGATTTAATTATGTATGTGACTGTTGAAGCACTATATTGTATACCTGAAACCAATATTGTATATGAGCTACAGTAAAAACAAAAAAATTTCTTAAAAATAAAAATAACATGATGAAATATGATGAGAAAGAGTAAGAGATGGGAAGATGGTGGTAAACTAGGACATAGTTTTGAGTAGAGAGAAAGAAGCTATCTATCTACCAAGGAAGCTTAAGTTAAAATTTAAAGAATCTTTGAAAGAACCATCTAGACAAGACAGTATTTCATATACTTATTTTTGGCCTCCATTTACCTGGTGATACTCTCATCTCCCCAGTGGCACAAAATTCTGCTATTCTTTTCAAACCTAAGTTTCCGCTACCTTCTTCCTAACTCTATGCTTTAGTTATCATACTGTGCTTTCTACCCAGGTTCATGGCACAAAGTACAGCAGTATTTAAGGATTTAATATTCTGCCTACTATATCATTAAACTAATCACAAAAAATCAGATAATCTACATTAATGTGCTTTAAAACAAGTAAGTACAATATAAATATTAGTTATCATTCTACTCTTTTAAGGCTATTGTAATTCCAACTTCTGCAACTAACATGGAGAATTTCCATTTTTGGTATCAGCTGAGTAGCTCATATTAGCTCAACTCTCCCACTGATAATAACTATAAAACCTGGGCAAAATATTACAAAACAACTACCTGAGACACTGTAAAGTGACTGAATAAAGTAGGTAAAATTTTCAGGGGCTATCAACAGTTAATAGAAGGGAAGTCCCTGAGTGATTTTTTATTCATGGCTTTTGGCCTTGAAGGCAGGCCCAGTGGCTGCCAAAGGAAGAGAGGAGTGGGACTAAAATACAAATAAACATTAACCATCTTGGTGGCTTGAAGAAACAGAGGTCAGTGTTCAGAGCAACCACAGCAGCTGGAAAGTAGGGGGAGATACTAAAGAGGTGAAAGCCAGAGGATGCAATCCCAAATTGGCATATACACTCTATTCAAATCTCAGGCTGATTACTGGGACTATATATGCACAGGTCAGGCTCTAAGCAACAGAGCTGAGAATAAAAATTAGTATTTTAGGTGCTGCTCTCTGTAAGGGAGATAGAATTTACAGTTTGAACCAATCAGATAAACTGTCCAATAAAACAAAACACTAAAAATCAATACTCCCTGAAGGAATATAACATACACCAGAGGCTCTGCAAGCCATTATAAGGTTCAGAATACAATCCACATTCAGCATATCTATGAAGAAATGGAAAAACAACTCAATACTAAAAAAGTATTCAATGGAGACCAATTGCAAGATGAAACAGACTGTTCCAGCAAAAACTTTAAAGCAGTTATTACATGATGCTAATGACACAAAGGAAACATGCCCATAAAGAATAAACATAGAAATTCTCAAAAGAGAAATAGAAAATATCTTAAAGGACATTCAAACTGAAAAATATAATGTCTAAAATAAAAAATTTGCTGAATGGGTGTAGAGTATAATAGTAAAGACAAAATGAATCCGTAAGCTTGAAGACAAATTAAGAGAAATTATCCAATCTGAAAGAGAAGAAAAAAAAGAACAAAGCTTCAGGGACCCAGGGGGATAATACTAGAAGGGTTAAGATATATTTTTTGGAGTTCCAGATGAACAGGAGAAAATGGGGCAGAAAAAATATTTCATTAAAGAATGGCCAACAGAATCCCAACTTTCTTGAAAGAT